TCGACGAGCATAAGGAAGTAGCACTCACCACGCGGTCCGGGGACGGGGCAGGGCCCCAGACGTCCAGGTGCAGGGTCTGAAGGGGGGCAGTAGCAGGGCGCAGCGAGGAGGAGTGAGGAGCACGGCGGAGCCGGCCCTCGATGCAGGGCGTGCACGGTGGCGCAGTCAAGGGGGGAAGGGCAGGGAGCGGCGCGGGGAGGCCTAAGACAAGACCGTGCTGGGACATGTGACGCAGACGAGGGAGAGCAGGGTGACCTAAGCGGTGGTGCCAGAGAAGGGACGGGTGAGTGAGGGACCGACACGAGCAAGCTGTAGCAACTTGGGAGGACGCACCAACTGGGGGGGAAGCGGTATCTAGGGTGAACAGACCGGACACCGGGTCCCGGGGGAACGTCGCAAGGGGGAACCTGAGACAGCCTCAAAACGGACAGCGAACCGCTCGTGCCCGGGGAACGTAGTGGTGACGCCGAGGTCCTGAAGACAGCCGACACCAACAAGGTTCCTCGAGAACGAGGGAATGTGGAGGCCTGTAAGGGAGCCCGAGGGAACTGCTGGACAGGGAAGGGAAGTGGAGCTGTGAGCGATGACAGGACCCGCAGAGGGGTCAGCGAGAGAGACAACAGCAGGCGGAGAAAGTGGCGTGAGCGTAGAACGGTCGCGGAAGAAGTAGGCAGAAGCACCAGAGTCGAGAGTGAAGGACAACGAAGCAGTGGCGTAGGCCGGGAACGGAGCCGGTGCAGAGACTAGGCTAGGCAAACTAGGCAGTCCTACGCCTGACGCAGCAGGGGAGGCTAAGCTACACAATGGGGCAACACCTAAACTAGAGTACACAGGGTAATAAGATCCAGCAATTCTAGAAGCATCAGAATACAAGGCATGCAAAGCAGCACCTATCTGATCCATGTCTAACTCAAAGATCGGCACGCCCTGGCGAAGCAGGCTGTGCCAGTCGGGGAGGTCTGGGGCCGGGCCAAAGCGACGAGGAAAGAGATCGTCGAGGCGGCGGAAACATCGGGCGGTCGGGTGCGGGCGACGGCACAGAATGCCGCGGAGAGGCCCGGTCTGAAGCTGGTACTGGCAGGTCACAGCACCAGAGCCGCCGGTAGATGCCGAGCTGCGCGGGCCACCACCACGGCCACTACCGCCGGAGGTGCCGGGCCAAGCAGGCGGGAGACGGGCCCACGGCTGCGGCGGCTGCTGCTGGGACGGCGGCTGCTGCTGGGATTGCTCCTGCTGCGGAGGGGACTGCGTCTGCTCCTGCCCATTGGTGGTAGTCCTCTCAGGCAGGAAACCGTCACCACCACCACTCCCACCACCCCCAGCGCCACCACCCCGACCTCCCTGGCGGCCACGGCCACCGCGACACGAGCGCTGCTGCGGGTGGACCGTAGCAGCAGTCTCGGTAAGGGGGGTCGCAGAGGCGACCGCAGCCGAAACGTCAGTAAACGTGCACCGGGAGGGGGCACAGCCGTGAAAGATAGAGACTGCCGGCGCACCGCTCGACTGAGTGATAGTGCGCTGGCGAGTCTCGATCTTGGTGAGGGTGGCGACAAAGGCGGTCAGAGTGAGGTCACCTGGGTGCTGGCTAAGAAAGTGGTCGCGAGCACTAGCTAGGCGGTCCGGCAGGCGCATGGTGATATAATAGAGCGTCATGCAGAAGGGAGGGGGGAGCGCAATGAGCTGGGCAGCAGTGCTGGCAGTGCGATAGCGGGTCTCTAGAGCACGCAAGTGAGTGGCAAAGTCTGCGACGGTAGGGAAGGCAGCAAGGTCTGGGAACATCATCGGGAAGAGCAAGCGATCGGTAGAAGCGGATGCAGGTGTGGAATAGCGAGCAATAACGGCGTCTAAATAAGCTTTGGCCGTATCAACCGTAGCAAAACGCGAGCCCTCAGACACCGGGAGGGCGTGACTAATAGCAACCTGAGCTACTGTATGGCGGGAGTCCCAGACCACACAGGCAAGCGCAGCAGTAGAGAAGACCTCACGGTCATCAGAGGAGGGATCAGCAGGGAGGGGAGCAGGGGCAGGGGGGCGGGGGAGCAAGCCATCGACATGGACAACCAAAGAGTGGCCATCCTAGCGCTGACCTGTAAGGTGGCGGCGGAGATCAGAGAGCCAGGCGGCGAAGTCAACTGCGTGGCCCTCAGCGTCCAGTCGGAGCACGAAGTCAGCCATCGTGCAGGGTCAACGACACAGCTCCACAGCGACACAGCAGCACAGCTCCACAGGGCGGACAAGCAGAGGAGACAGGGCCCGAGGTGGCACAGCAGGCCGAGCAGGGAGGAGGAGGGGCCGGGCGGGCAGTAGGGGGGGAGGCCGGGCTGGCGCTGGAAGACGAAGAGGCGCAGCGGGGCCGGGCGGGCGCTAGGAGCCTGGCGGCACTAGGAAGGGGGCTGGGCCAGCTAGGAGGGGCCGGCGCGCGCAACAGGCCGGGCGGGCGCGGTGGGGCCCAACGGGACGCTATAGGGCCAGGCGAGTGCGGTGGGGCCAGGCAGGCGCGACAGGGCCAGGCGGGCGCGACACGGCCAGGCGGGCGTGACGGGGCCAGGCGGGCGCGGCAGGGCCAGGCAGGCGCGACGGGGCCAGGCAGGCGCGACGGGGCCAGGCGGGCGCGGCGAAGCCAGGCAGGCGCGACGGGGCCAGGAGGGTGCGACGGGGCCAGGCGGGCGCGGCTGGGCCAGGCACGCGCGACGGGGCCAGGCAGGCGCGACGGGGCCAGGCGGGCGCGACGGGGGCCTAGCGGACGCGACAGGGATCGAGAGGGCGTGACGGGGGCCAGGAGGGCGCTACGGAGCCTGGAGGGCGCGACGGGGGGCCAGGAGGGCGCTACGGAGCCTGGAGGGCGCGACGGGGGCCAGAAGGGCCGTACGGGGCCTGGAGGGCGCGACGGGGGGCCAGGAGGGCGCTACAGGACCTAGAGGGCGCGACGGGGGCCAGGAGGGTCGTACAGGGCCTGGGGGGCGCGACGGGGTCCAGAAGGGCGCTACAGGGCCGGGAGGGCGCGACGGGGGCCAGGAGGGCGCTACAGGGCCTGGAGGCCCTGACGGGGGCCAGGAGGGCCGTACAGGGCCTGGAGGGCGCGACGGGGGCCAGGAGGGCGCTACGGGGCCTGGAGGGCGCGACGGGGGCCAAGAGGGCCGTACGGGGCCTGAAGGGCGCGACGTGGGCCAGGAGGGCGCTACGTGGCCAGGAGGGCGCGACGGGGCCAGGACGGGCCAGGTAGGTAGGGGAGGGGCGAGAGGCTAGGGCGCGGGCGGGAGCGGGCGGGTGGACCTAACCTACTCGATACCATGTTAGAATATGATAATAGTTTACTAGGAAGGGAAACCTAGAACATATACCTGTTGGGTTGTACTCACTAGAAGCACACACCTAGTCTAGCCTATAACTTCTATATAGAACATATGTATAAGTTGACATTTTTGTCCATGGGGTTAAAAGGGGGCGGCATCGGCGGCTTTATCTTGGCCACTGGTATAGTTCATGTACAGTAGCTGCGGCTGCTGCAAAAACCGTTGCTGCTGCTTCGGAGCGGGCAGCGGTCGTTATCGCAGCTGCTGCAGCTGCCGTGGCACTTGCAGCGGCATTCATTGCTGCTTCAGCTTCATCATCACGGCGCTCCTGCGACACTTCGCGTGCGATTTCGTCTAAGACTGTTTCGACGCGTCCCGTGCTGGCGGCGTCCTCGAGGGCGGACGACTTCTGGCGCGTAGTCTCTTGCGCCTGGCAAAGTTTGGTAACTTCGGCACGAAGTCTCTCGTTGTCGTTGAACACAGCTTGCAGGCGAGCGTCCGTGGCGGCGAATTTTGCCAAGAGCCCGTCGAACTGTGCGTGGTCTATGTGACGGACACTACGTCGGGTAGGCAGGGGAATAATCGTGATTACCTGTGCTCAGGTAAGAGCGCAAACGCTATTGTAGCCGGGCGAATTAATTCGTCTAATTCGCAACCGACCACTTTGCACCTCAGTGGGCGAATCACCCCCCCCCCCCCCTCCCCCGAAAAAAGTTTTTCGCCTACGGAAGCGGGTGGGTCAGGAAAGTAGCTATGAATACCACATGTTATGAGTGTTTCACCAGAGTAGGGCGGAATCGAATGTCGAAGTTCAGAATAACAGAATGTCGTACAATGGAATGACGAGGCAACATATAGGAACACCAGAGCAATCCTAGCCACGTGATCGAACAGGTTCGTAGAAGGCATCCGAGGACGCGGAGCGCTTCGGAGTGACGCAGAAATGGTTCGGTGCCGTGTTCAGGCCGGAGCTAGGGCAGATGTCAGTGCCGTGTGGGGTTGATGTACTCGGTAGCGGTGTGGCGCGCTAAGGAGTAGACAATTCCTTACAAGGGAGGAGGGAATGAAACAGACGTTTGCGAAAGGACCACCAAGGGAAAGTGTTGCTGCTAAAATTCCAGCATTTCTTAAAGAAAGAACATCTAGAATGGAAATCAATACCAGGCAAAACTGGCATCGTGGCGTAATAACAAGATTGTATATGATATTCAACATTAAAACATACATTTCAACGTAGTATGACATAGGAGGACGCTAAGTCATGTGGGCTTCTTTCATGCCTATAATCGCCTTGGCACTGCTACGTATTGTCTGTAACACCTATTATTCGGTTCGCGAACACCCCTTACATCCTTCGCATCAATCAACAGCAATAATCGTGGTGTGGGCCGTCGCCTTGCAGTCAGCGACTTTCAATCCGACGGCTGCGAGTCGAGGATCTCCGGTCTCGAATCGATGTGTCCCATCGTCACGGTCGGATGGAGGTGTCGTGCGGTCCGATAATTTTGTGCACGCGATTCAAGGTGCAGTGCAACCGAGCAGGCAGCATTTCCCCTCCCCTCCACCATCTCAAGCAGGAGCCACTTCCCCCAACAGGCCGCAGCGTGAACCCCCTCACCCGCCGTCGCTCACTCACTGCTACCCCAACACACTCTCCCGCTGTCGGCTGAGCGCTCTTGTTTCTGCCTCGCCTTTCCACTACAAAAAGAACCAAACCATTTTCGTTCACCACCTGCTCAGTCCCGACTTTCCCTGATCCCTGCTCGTCTAGCTGACCACGGCATAGTCGATTTTTGAGACGTCTCAAAACTGACCAACGCATAGCAGCCACACCCTCGGGTTCCTCCTTCGTCGCCGCGCTTGGCGATTGTTCTGGAAAATTCACTGAAAAGTGACTCTAGCGAAATCTGCATCAACGTGAATCTAACGAAAGCGCTGCATCTGATGGCTTTGATCCCGTCGGTCGCGCGGCTCCCTCAGCTGTCGCCTGTGGCGCTCCTCTCCTTCGTCGTTGTTGCCGCGATCGTCGCGGCGCTCCTCCCCTACAGCGACGCCATTCGCCTCGCCGCGTCGCCGGATGCGACCATCCTCACGCCGCAGCGTACGTGTCGTTCCGCCACTGATTTTGGTTCTCCTTTTTCCGAACACTTGCTTGACGCTCTTCCGTTCGCACTATTCTCGTCGTCCCCATCGTCCCCTTTCGTCCGTCAGTGGACGTTCTCCGTCAGCTCGGCGCGCAGTCGGGCAGCGGCTTCGCGGGGTTCAAGTCGTGGACGGCAGCCGGCAGCCCCGCCAAGTGCGCGAAATACGCTGGCGTCACGTGCGACGCGGAGGGGAGGATCACTGGCATGTGAGTAAACAGACGACTTGGTCGTCGGATTCAATTCTCTGTCTCATCGCATCTGGTACTACTTCAGCCACCCCGCATCTTAACTTTTCTCTCCACTCCCCCTTCTCATGCTCCCGTATTCCCCGCCTCCAGCAATGTCATGGCCGCCAATCTCAATTTGCTTCTTTTGTCGCGCCTCAACGCGACAAATCAGACGTCTCCCTCCCGCTTCCCCTTTCCATGCTCCCTGTATGCCCCGCCTCCAGCAATGTCACGGCCGCCAATCTCAAGGGCCCCATCGACGCCCTCTCCAAGCTCGACGCGCTAGAATTTCTGTAAGCCTCGTCAGAGAGAAGTGCGCTTACACTACAACCGTCCGATAGAGTCCTAAAGCTGGAGTTCTGTTGAGCTCTCTCTTCGTTCCGCTCGCCCCTTACTACATTCAGGCGCTTGGGTTGCCCGACCACTTGGTTTTCTTCTCCCTGCCGTTTTCTGGACCTCCCTGTTTTCGTCCTCTTGCTTTCTTATCATCTCCCCTCCCGCCACTCTCTTTTCCTCTTGCCACTCTCTCCTCCTCCCCCTCTCTCTCCCCCAGCGACCTGAGTTCTAACGGCGAGGTGAAAGCGTTGCCGCAGTCACTGACCAAGCTCAAAAAGCTCAAGCACCTGTGAGTACTCTGCGGTGCAATGCGGTGCTGAGGGATGCCCATACGTTTTTTGGGATTCTAATGTGCTCCTATTGAGGACCTGAGCTCCAACAGCGAGGAGAGAGCGTTGCCTCAGTCGCTGACCAAGCTGACGAGACTCAAGCACTTGTGAGTTCCCCGCACTGCAGTGTGGCGCTGAGGGTTGTCCAGAGGTGCTTTGGGGTTCTAATGTGTGCCTGTTGAGGAGAGGAGTTTCAACGGCGAGGTGAGGGCGCTACCACAGTCACTGACCAAGCGCAAGCACCTGTGAGTTCTCTGAGCTGCAATGCGGTCCTGAGGATTGCCCAGGGGTGCTTTTGGCTGGTAATGTGTTCCTAATCTGCCCTCCTGTGAGCCTCTGTCTCACCTTGCTCCTGCCTCAGCTCTCACTCACCACCCATTCTTCCCCCCCTGCCCACAGCGATGTGTACAACTGTTGGATCGAGGGGCAGATCCCATCCTTCCTCGGCCAACTCACTGCCCTCACGTACCTGTCAGTCACCATGCCATGCCATGCCAAGCCAAGCCATGCCATGCCATGCCAAGCCAAGCCAAGCCAAGCCATGCCAAGCCATGCCAAGCCATGCCATGCCATTCCATGCCAAGCCAAGCCATTCCATGCCAAGCCAAGCCATGCCATGCCATGCCATGCCATGCCAAGCCAAGCCAAGCCATGCCATGCCATGCCATGCCAAGCCAAGCCATGCCATGCCATGCCATGCCAAGCCAAGCCATGCCAAGCGAAGCCATGCCATGCCATGCCAAGCCATGCCATGCTAAGCCATGCCATGCCATGCCATGCCAAGCCAAGCCAAGCCATGCCCTGCCATGCCAAGCCAAGCTATGCCATGCCATGCCAAGCCAAGCCATGCCATGCCATGCCATGCCAAGCCAAGCCATGCCATGCCATGCCAAGCCAAGCCATGCCATGCCATGCCATGCCATGCCACGCTATTCCGTTCTGCTACCTCCTCTCTCTATTCTCGCTCGATTGCCCTCCCTTACTATCCTGTGAAAGGCTTAAATGCCCCCCTCCCTTACTATCCTGTGAAAGGCTTAAATGCCCCCCTCCCTTACTATCCTGTGAAAGGCTTAAATGCCCCCCTCCCTTCTCGTCCCCCCCCATCCCGAGTTATGGTATTGTCCCTCTCTGTCGCCCACACAACAGAAGCATCCCCCCTCCCACCTCCGTCCCCCATCCCCCCTTTCTCTCCCTCTCTGTCCCCGCGCAACAGAAGCATTGGTGGTAACCCGCCAGAAGGCTCTGTCCCTTCCAGCCTTGAGGTGTCTCTAAAATCTGCCCATCCCCCTTCTCCTTCCCTCTCTGCTTACCGCACAACAGAAGCATTGGCGGTAACCCGCTAGATGGCGCTGTTCCTTCCAGCCTTGGCAGCCTTGTCAATCTCGTCTCCCTGTAAGCACTGCGCCCCACTAAAACCATCCTCGCCTCGCTATAACCATGCGCGCCTCACTGTAAACATCCTCGTCTCGCTATAAGCATGTTTGTCCCTTCAACGCATTTTTCTTTCAATTCCCGCACCATCTCTCACCCTCCCAACTCTCTTGTAGCTCCCAAGGGAATCTCCCTTGCATCTCTACACCTCTCAAACCCTATTCTCTCTTGCTTTCCCTGCCGTTTCCCCCCTCCCCTTGTACCGCCCCTACCAGCAACATCGCTGGAACAGGGGAGGACGGAGTGGGAGGCCCCCTGCCTTCTAGCTTTGCCAATCTGAAGAAGCTCAAAGAGCTGTAGGTGCAAGGATGGGGGGAGGGGACGGGGGATAGGTAGGGTGCTGGGGAAAGCTAGTGTAGGAGGGATAGAGAGGAGGAGGTCCCTTGCCTTCTAGCTTTGCCAATATGAAGAAGCTCAAACACCTGTAGGTGCAGGGGGGGGGGGGAGAGAAGGGGTCAGGGAACAAAGCGATTTGGGTGGGGGGAGGGGGGTGGAGAGAAAAGGAGGGAGGAGAGAAAGAAATCGCGAAAGCCTGCCTTTTCGCTCCAGTCCAAAGCGTATGATTAAAAATGGTTTGCACGGAACAGGGAATTTGCCGAAACAACAGCTGCCAGCAGACTAGGCAATGTGGAGCAACAACCGACATACCTGTGCGCTATGGTTTCATTCCTTGATCTACAAGGTGGATCTTTGCTCAACCCATCCCCATCCTTGCCCCTCGTCCAACCCGTCTGCCCCCTCCCCCCACCCTCTCTTCTTCTTCTCCCTTCCCCCCCTCCCCAGCTATCTGCGCAACAACCGCTTCAACGGCAAGCTGCCGGACTTTATCGGGGACCTCACTAATCTGGAGCAGCTGTGAGTGGGGGGAGGAAGAGAGTGGTTGCAGGTGGTTTGCACTCACACGCTCACTCCTACCTGATTCACACCGACGTAAATACCCTCCTCTATCTCCTTCACTCACTCATCCTTGCTCGTCCTCAAAAAGCTCACCCCTCTTCACTACCCTCTTCCCCTCAGCATGGTGAGCAAGAACTACTGGGAGGGCCCCATTCCCAAGACCCTGTCTAAGCTCAAGAAGCTCAAATACCTGTGAGCAACACTCAGTCTCAGTGGCCTCAAGCGGTCCTTAGTTGCCTCTTTCTCTGTGGTAACATTCGGTAAGCAGTTCGTTCTCTACCTTACTCCAGTATCTTTTCACCATCTGCCTTGTCCGAAACCCTCTCTCCTCCCCCTTTCTCCCCTCCCTCCCTCCCCGCCTCCTGTCCGCTCTCCTCTCTCCGCCCTTTACTCCCAGGGGTCTTCGTGAGACAGCCTTGGAGGGCGAGATTCCAACGTTCCTTGGGACGCTTGATAAGCTCACATACCTGTAAGGGCACATGCGTGTAACGGCACATGCGTGTAACGGCACATGCGTGTAACGGCACATGCGTGTAACGGCACATGCGTGTAACGGCACATGCGTGTAACGGCACATGCGTGTAACGGCACATGCGTGTAACGGCACATGCGTGTAACGGCACATGCGTGTAACGGCACATGCGTGTAACGGCACATGCGTGTAACGGCACATGCGTGTAACGGCACATGCGTGTAACGGCACATGCTTTTAACGGCACATGCGTGTAACGGCACATGCATGTAGCGGCACATGCGTGTAACGGCACATGCGTGTAACGGCACATGCGTGTAACGGCACATGCGTGTAAGGTCACATGGATATAAGGGCACATGGATGTGAGGCCGCATGCATGTATGATTGCATTCGTGTAAGGTCACATTTCCTCCCCACCCTCTCATCACCCTCTCACCACCCCCTCACCACCCTCTCACCACTCCTCTCCCCTCCCTCCCCCCCCCCCCATTTATCCAGTTTGCTGTCCGACGTGCGCTTGTACGGTCGGGTGCCCATGGTGTTCAGCGCTCTGCCATGTATTGAGGCCTCCCAGTCCACCCACCCCCCTCTTCCCCTCTTCCCGCCTATGCGTTCTCCCCCTTGCCCCCAGCTCCCTCTCTGACACGCGTCTGTACGGGGAGGTGCCTAAGGCGCTCAACGGGCTCGTCAACCTCAAAGAGCTGTGAGTCCCCAAGGGGAGGGAAGGGCGACGGGGCTGCTGGGGGGGTAGCTTGCGTGAGCGGTGAGCTTTTTCAGTGTAGACCAGAGGCAGCGGCAGCGAGCCGAGGACTTGCAGAGTGGATCAGGAGCAGTGGCTGTACCCTCCTGCGTCCATCCTATACCCTCAACCTCCTTCTATCCTTGTGGCATTCACCGTTCTCTTTCTACGCACCCCCTTCTCCATTCCTCGCTCCACCCGCCCGTCCCTCCCTATCTCCAGGTACCTCCAGAATGGATGGTTTTACGGCCCCCTGCCCAACCTCAGCAACCTGAAGAAGCTCACAGAAATGTATGACTGCCTGCCTGCCTGCCTGCTCGTTCCCATTCGCCCTCCTCCATCCCTGACATCTTGGACTTAAACTTGCAGTTGAATGCACTCTCTTTTTTCCTGCCGTTCGGTCACCAACCTTCAACATCCCTACCCTCTCCCTCACCACTCCAACTCCCCACCCCCACCCCACCCCCTAGTGATCTGACAGACAACTATTTCTCCGGTCCCGTGCCCGCCTTCCTCCTCCGAGTCAAGTCCGTTAGCATCAGTGGAAACTATTTTTCCGGCTCAGCCGCCGCCCTCCCCTGCTCCGACCAGTTCTCTATCGACCGCAACTGCCTCTCTGCTGCCCCCGCCAAGTGCGGCGGGGTCGCTAGCCAGAGGAGCACGGCTGATTGCAACAAGTTCTGCGGGACGGCAATGGCTGCTGGGGCGTGCAGTGGGAAGGGCGTGTGCGTGTTGGACATGGAACAGATGCTTGACACACAGGCTTTTGTGCCCATCTGCAAGTGTGAGAAGGGTTATTGGGCTTCTCACAACAAGCTGAGATGCTCCAAGAACAACACTTCAATGGAGATATGATCAGAGAACACTTGCAAGCTTGGCGAATGAATAAAAAATAGGTGTTGAATTGTTTGTTCAGCGTTTACCTACAGTAATAAAATAATGGTGTGGTTGTTTGAGTTGCACCTTTATAGAGCTGAATGTGGCCGGGTTTTTCATACCCTCATCCTTTCTCTGTAATGAACTATGTCGGAACGATATTGGCCTTTGAATTTGAACTCGCGTTAATTGCTGGGACCTGAAAGGAAGTGGTGTAGTAGAAGACTGATCGTGTAAGGATCTACTACAGCACGTACGCCCTCTAATCCAGAAAGTCCAGGCTCGGCCAACTCCTTTTCGGTCCCGAACCACATTGCGAACCCAAACCTTGACGCGTGGCGCTTCCGTAGCCTTCGCCAACCGAACCGCCCCAACCTGTTCGCGTGGTTCTCGGCTAGCCCTGTCCGTGTTTATAAATGCCTAGGCCCTCATTTGTATCGACAGTTTTGAATCACAGTTCCTTTATTTCACTACCTGTAATTACTCTGATTTATTCATAACAGCTTGCATCAAAGCTCCGTTTCATGCCCGTCTAGTCTTCCGTAAAGTAGTCCGTTTATATCGGGAGAGGACCCAACAGAATAAGGAGTTGGCCAGCGGTTGGTAGGTGAGCTCGTTAAAGCCCGAGTCTAGAATTACAAATGGGGATTTCAAAAGAGCCCCCGTTGAAGTAGGGCACTCCTGTAAACTTTTGAGCGAGACGAATTCAGCTGAAACCCATTTTATGGGCAGCAGGAGAAAGTGAAACACTTGAAAACGCATGGAATGCGAGTTTCGGCGATTGCGACAAACGCAAGCGACACATCCACGAATCGACAGGCGACGCGAATCGTAGGGAGCGAGATGGATCCAGGGCGTGGTTGAACAATTGGAATCAACGTAGAATTTCGCGCGAAGAAACTCAAAACGATACCCGGATTGCGCTAACCAAGGTAGAGAAACCGAGCTCGCGCTTCGAAACAGGCCCTGTATCCCAATCGCGACGATGAACACAATGGAGCAAAAGAAAATGCTCAGTGTACATGTAACTAGGCCAGAGATTGCGTATACATAATGTGGCTCATCTTAGAAACTTAGGACTCAAGGTTCTTAAACTTAGGAGGCTAGGTTGGCTAGGATACTAGGAAGAAGGCCGCCATGGAATGGCGTGAGGAAAACGGATCTAGGAAGGGAGAGAAAGTCGAGAAGAAAGGTGTTTGTTTAGGAAGAGAGAAGAGTACAAGAAGGGGTTTGTACCCTCTACAGAAAGGTTCAGTAACAACCTACCAAGCCTATATTAAATTATAACTTATATAATTTTAACACACCCCCTAGGCTTGGTAGTGTCAAGCCCACGCACACCCCCACACCCACACCCACACCCACACCCCCTAGCCCAGCACCCCCATTCCCAGCAGGAGCCGCAACGACTCCGGAAGAGGGTAGGTCTCACAGCCCCTTGAGACGGCAATGGCGGCAGCAGCGACAGTGACGACGGCGGCGGCGGCGGCGGCGGTGTGCGGCGGCTCCAGGCCTGCGGCAACAGCGGCGGCGCCGGCGGCTCGAACGACAGAGGCTGGTGCGGCGGCCCCCGCCCTCTCGGCGGCATGTCCTGTCTCCTCGGCGGTGGAGAGGTCCCTCACATGGCAGTCATCGGCTGCAGCAAGAAAGGGGGGGATGCAGGGGAAGCAGGTGCAGGTGGGGGGGGGAGGGGAGGGGGCGGGGCGAGGCGAGTCTTCAGCGACGCGCCATAAATGGCGCGGCGCTTACTGGCGGGAGGACGTCGTCCTGAGGGACGCCCGTCTGTGGCGAGCGGGCGGCAGGCCCGGCGACGCCACAGACGTCGCTCGGCCGGCCGCAGCCCGACGATGCCGTCGGCTGCCGCAGACGCCGCCACAGCGCACCGTCAATGTCGCAGCGGCGAGGCGGACGGGCGACGGCTGCACCAAGGGGCCGTCGCGACACCTTGGCGCCGCGACGGTAGGCAACGAGGGACCGTCGCGACATCTTGGTGCCGCGACGGCAGGCAACAAGGGGCCGTCGCGACATCCTGGCGCCGCGACGGCAGGCAACAAGGGGCCGTCGCGACAACTTAGTGCCGCGACGGCAGGCAGGCAGAAAACCGCGAAGGCTGCGAATGCAGTAGGAGTACGCAACGGGAACGTAGGGAGAGGGTCCGGTGGACACGACCGGCTCTGATACCACCTTAGAAACTTAGGACTCAAGGTTCTTAAACTTAGGAGGCTAGGTTGGCTAGGATACTAGGAAGAAGGCCGCCATGGAATGGCGTGAGGAAAACGGATCTAGGAAGGGAGAGAAAGTCGAGAAGAAAGGTGTTTGTTTAGGAAGAGAGAAGAGTACAAGAAGGGGTTTGTACCCTCTACAGAAAGGTTCAGTAACAACCTACCAAGCCTACATTAAATTATAACTTATATAATTTTAACACTGTCTACGAAAGTATGAAAAGTTTCGTGGACAGTCCGCAGCAGCAATTTTCCCGCAGTGCAAGCATGCAGTGGCCTGGTGCTCTCGCCAACCATAACTCTACAGTACATCGACTAGTTACACCGCCACTCATCTACGGTAGTATTTACCAAAGTCTGCCATATTCAAGAGTTATGGAAAACAAAGCAAACCTAAAGAGGCTACATCAAGCTCGACACCATCATAAACTCTGGGCTCTCCTCGCTTGAATTCTGAGTCCAACTAGTGCTGGCTGCTTGACCTTCCCAATGCACTCTTCCAAGTTGCAACTCTCAAGCCCTTCACTGCTCGATCCATCTAGCAAATCCTTCCCATTGCTCTCATTCCCACATGGTCCTCCGATACCCCTTCCCCTCCTAGTGCTCCCCGTCCAGCAACCCCTGCTGCATATCGCACCTCCCCGCCGCCACTTCCTGAAGGGGAGTCGCAGCAGCAGCTGCCCCAGCAGCAGCACCAGCAGCAGCAGCAGGGGGGGGGTTGCACAGCAGGCGGCAGCAGGGAGAGACGAATGGCCTCGAGTTGCTTGTGGGCGTGCAAGATGCACGGGCATAGGGAGGGCAGTGTGGTGGTGCAGGCGAGGGCGAGCGAGGCGAGGCGGCACAGAAATACTCCCACCCTCCACACCTCTCCACTACCATATGGATCTATAAAGAACTCTTCATTGTTCTCACTCCCTCGCAATCCTCCTCCCCCCCTCCCTCCTACTGTCCATCCAGAAGCCCCTGCTCCATATCTCCCTGCGTCGGACCAGCAGCCGCAGGAGCAGCAGGGGGGTGTTGCGCGGCAGGCGGTGGCAGGGAGCGCCTGACAGCCTCGAGCTGCTCGCGGACGTACGAGAGGCGCGGGCGCAGGGAGGGCATCGTGGTGGTGCAGGCGAGGGCAAGCGAGGCGAGGTGGCGCAGCATGTCGTACGTGATGGGCAGCTCGGGGTCCCTCAGTGCCGCTATGTCATTCGCGTCCACGTGCTGGGACGCCTGGGGAAGGGGAGGGAGATGGGGACGGGGGGGGAGAGGTGGGTTCGTGAGAAGGGGCAGAAGGGAGACGATGCACAGGTCACGATGGGGATCGGACGCTTGGGCAAAGGAGCAGGTTGTTCCTGTTGAGTGATGTATGGTGGTGTGGGTGGAGTGATGTGTGTGGAAAAAAAATGGAGTGGAGCATGTGGAGACAGAGAGGGGGGCATGTATGTTAGAAAGTAGGAGTGAGACTGTGAGCCTGCGAGGGGACTCACCCACTGACTGATGGTCATCTGGCGGTCTGTGACGACGAGAATGGCCCTGCGACCTGTCAGCACCTCCAAAATCACCACGCCAAAACTGGAGGGCAAGCCGGTGGCAGGGAGGGAAGGAGGGCCATGGCGGTTGTGCTGTCAGTCACCGGGTAAGCAAAGATGAAGTAATAAGGAGCTGTGGCATATTCCCCAAAAGGCAGACGAAAGCTGGAGAGTCTTTGAAAAGCTGCTAAGCTATCTCCCTGTGTGCCATCTAACACGGAGTACACAGCACACAGCACACAGCACACAGCACCCGAGCTACGCATAGATTCTCTGCGTGCCCTGCCTGTATATGTCAGACTGAGGAGTGGCCACGTGTGTCTTGGCATACGACGGGTCCACGTAGCCTGGTGTGCCCACCACGCGCTCCCCATTCTCCTCCCCGTTCCCCACCACCCTCACGAACCCAGCGTCCACCAGACGAGCCTGTAACATCCCACAGCCGCCGAGAACGGAAGGAGAAGAAGACATTCATGACTTCAAGGGAGCTTTGGGACAGCAGGAGAAAGTAGTGCATAAAAGCATGCAGGCTGGCGGAATGGAGCGTCTGGAAGAGCAAGGGGGCGGAGGAGCTTGGCCTGGCTGACCTGCAGGCGGTCGTCCAGCAGGATGGTGGATGGCTTCACATCGCGGTGCACAATGCCACTCGCATGCAGATACTCCAGCCCCCTCGCTGTCCCCACCAAAATGTCCATCCGCTCACCCAGGCTCAGGGGCGCCTGTGCACCTGGGATGCGGGCATGGGAGGAATCAATGCTTGGATGGGAGGCATCAAGCAGTCCATTTGTGGTGAAACACAGGAGGGGCTGACGAAATGGCGTTCAGTCCAATCCTTGGGACAGTGAAAACTCGTGCTTTAACCACTGTGCCAGTGCGTGTAGTCTACATGCTCACTTGGCTTGAGTCGTTTTCTGACTAAAATCCAGAACTCCTTAAGCCTCAGCCGTGAATACCAGGCATGAACGAGGCCCTACTCTCACTTTCCATTCGACCTGATTTTATTGAAGCCTTTCTTGTCCATCTCACCCACCTGGCTCGAGGCGTTTCTCTTCTGCTCCCACCCCACCTGGCCCAAGGCGTTTTCCTTCTGTCCCCGTGTGCCACCTGCCCCCCTGAGGCGTTTCTCTTGTGCCTCCCACCCCACCTGGCGTGAGGCGTTTCTCTCGGGCCCCCATGTGCCCTCCGTCTCACCTGGGCGGAGGCGTTTCTCGAGGTCGCCGTGGGGCATGAAGGGGTAGACGGTGATCTGCTCCATCTGCAGCGCGCTGGGCGTCATCTCCATGCAGAACCCCACCAGCGCCACCACGTGCGCATGCCGCACGCCCCCCATGCGCTCCACCTGCCATCAACCGTGCCACGCCGTGCCACATGCAAAGCAGAAGGCAGACGCAGATATATGCATACATCTCCCCAACAGGCACACATGAGGCAGCATGAGACACACAGGCACACCCCACACCCCACACCCCACCCACCGCCGCCGCCGCCGCCACCACCACCACCACCACCACCACCACCACCACCACCACCACCACCACCACCACCACCACCACCACCACCACCACCACCACCACCACCACCACCACCACCACCACCACCACCACCACCACCACCACCACCACCACCACCACCACCACCACCACCACCACCACCACCACCACCACCACCACCACCACCACCACCACCACCACCACCACCACCACCATCCCACTTGACCACCTCTCCGCACCCCACCGTGCTCATCCCGTTCCTCACCGCTTTCTTGAAGTTGTTGGCAAGGACACGTGCGCGGCTGACAGTAAGCACGAGCCCCGTGTTGTAGGGGTCCAGGCCCTTGTACACGTCGTTGAAGCCGCGCGACCCTATGCGGTTGCCCGCCGCCCAGTCGTCCGTCGCCACGCGCATCTCGTCCAGCGTGAACTCCCTGAACGCCGCCCCGGGGGTGGATGCACGCAGGGCCACTGGGGTGGGGGGGCGGGGACATGGGGGAATGGGGGAATGCGTGTGGGGGAGGTAGTGGGGGGTAGCAGGAAAATGACGGCATGAAGTGCCTCAGTCGTCCATGGCCAACCCGTCTCGTCCAGAGTGAGCGAGGATGCACGTACCACTGCGGAGACGGGCGGGGGGGGAAGGAGGTTAGTGAAGGAAAGAAAGAGGGCAATGATGAGAGGGGAGTGGGATAAGTAAGGGGAGGCTAGGAAAAGCAGGAAAGGGTTGACATGTGTCGCTGATGCTGTCGCCGTGACTCGTCGTGAGGCACAACCCATTCTTACTTGCAGAGGAACCGGTGCGCAGAGGAATTGTTACCGCATCCATACCAACGACTGCCTTGATGGGGCATACCCTTGGGCGATGGGGCCCAACCAAGCATCCCCGTGTCTCCTCTTACCCATGGGATGGGCGTTGCCGCAGTAGCGCCAGGCCACGAGCAGCACAGCAACCAGCGCAGCCACAACGCATGCAGTACCAATGGCAATGCCAGCAATGGCCGCCGAGGAGAGGGAGGAGGATGGGAGGGCCTCAGACGGGGCCGCGCTCGATGGAGGGGCGGCAGATGGAGGTGCGGCAGATGGAGGTGCGGCTGATGGGGGAGAATTCGATGGTGGGGCGACTGGTGCCCATGGGGGGATGGGAGTGGGAGAGACAGCAGGGAACAGGAAGGAATGGATGTGAGGAGAGAGCGAGTGAGGGGTCCAACATGCAAGACAAGGTTAAAGAGCAGCAGAACTGTGAAGCTGCTATGAAAATCATGTGGGAAATGGCACATTCTCTATGCACTAACAGTAACTGCAAGGGAGCCAGTTGCAGAGGGGCGTGGGCGTACCAGCAGAGGCATTGCATCGGCATGTTTTGTTGGAGATTTGGCATCCATTAACTGGCTCGGATGCACAGAAGCTATCTGGGAGTAAGCTGCAGCGAAGGTGCCAGAGGAAGAGCAAGCACGAAGTGAAGGAGAACAGCAGAAGGAACGAGCGAGATCTGGGGCTCGACATGACAAATAGCAGGCAGGACTGTACTTGAGAAGAATGATACATCATGCAGATTAACGTGAGGATGATGTGAACTGGAGGGGAAACAGTTTCGCGCGTACTTGGGATAAGTGAACCAGGTAGGGTTATGCATGAGAAGAAGCTAAGTGGCCATACAATTCCACGAGGTTGACAAGCTTGCTCATGCTGCTTGGAATGCCTACAATTATGTTGTTGCCCACCAGATCCCTGAAACGCCACAGCATGAGGAGGAGGGGAGAGTGGCATCACAGCAGCAGGCGATAGAGGCACGGCCTCTCTTAGCTTAGGTAAGAACTGCCGGGATCAGTGCATTCTCAGTGTACCAATCAGATTAGCCATGAGAGGTGTTCGCCCAACCTTGTTGATGTGCATGCAACGCAACTTGTGAGCATACCCAGCTACCATGCCCTCCCCCTCTCAGCTATGAGCGCACACCCCCTGTCATGCTTTCGCCATCTCATGCTTTCGCCATCTCATGCCACTCCCCCCCGGCAGCAAATCACGTGCTATTCTTAGCCTTGAAGTGCCACATTAGACCAGGCTCATGCTCGCAACAAATCACCTTCACAGCAGCTCACATTCACAACAGCTCACAGCTCACAAGCAGGCTTCATCAACTCGTTTGTGCGTCTGTACAATTTACTCCCTGGCTCTGTTATCTTGCAGTGCCTTACAGGTAGGAAAGGTCTGTTAGTTTGGAAATCTCGGATGGGATGGTCCCTGCGAGCTGGTTGTTGGAGAGGTCCCTGCGGCAGCAAGGGGAGGAGAGCAGTGGAGGGGAGGATGTGAGGTGGGTGATACAAGGGGACACAGGGGGACACAGGGTGACAGAGATGACGTCTAATAACTCGTTTCATGGCACCTCTCCTATGGTGCTGTATACCATATGTACCATAACTCTCCACATGTGCCTCTTTCCATCCACAGCGCCTGGCTTCACCTAATACCATCATGCGACCAACACTGCATCTCAGTGCTTCGCAGTGCCCTGCAATCTGGAGCAGAGAAGAGAGGTGCATATGTTTTAATGATGGGATGAGATAGCAACAAGTGCCGGTGGGCCACTGGGGCATCACAAGCCGAGCAGTTGAGACAGCATGCAAGAGTCACCAGAAATGCGAACATTTTCTGGTGACAGCTCAGAAACCTTCAATATCTGTACGGTCCTTACGGACCTCACTGAGAAAATGTTATTGAAGGTCTCCAGTGAGGTCTTCCTGTCACCCTGTCTCTACTAGCAACTGCGGGCCGCAGCCGCCCGGACTTGTTTCCGGGGCGACCTGTTCACAACAGCACCCCATAAGCCTGCTGCCCACTTGGGGCAACGTTGGCCTGTCTGTCATGCATGCTGCAGCAATGCATGCCAGGCCAACACCCTGCATGCCTCACGGTGTCGCTTTTGGGCATTCTTGAAGCCAACAAACACCATGTGAGAGCGAACCTGCCCATCCAGGCCGTGCCACGGTGCCACCTATCCCCAGCACCGAGCACTGGCTGACTGCCTATAGCCGATGCACCTAATGAGCACTGGCTGACTGCCTATAGCCGATGCACCTAATGAGCACTGGCTGACTGCCTATAGCCGATGCACCTAATGAGCACTGGCTGACTGCCTATAGCCGATGCACCTAATGAGCACTGGCTGACTGCCTATAGCCGATGCACCTACTCCACCCTCTGGAGAACGGGTATGGCTCGTGCCCATATGGATAGGTTGGTCGGTACCAGTCAGTCACACCGTGCTTACCTTTGGCTGCACCCTCGTTCCCTGATCAATGCAAAGAACCGTTTGAGGGAAGAAGGGCAGAACCCGTCGACCCGCTTTGCTCCTCGTATTTTGTACCCTGTATGCCCCTTATCATAGGCTCCAATACAAAGCCTAGGGGAATCTTCCATTGCAACAGGCTGGCACGCATGCGACAGGGTATGGGAGAAGAATAAAAGCTTAACAGTGAGATGCAAGGGTGCTGTGTGGCTTACAGGTACGAGAGGCTCGTGACTCTGGAAAGGTCAGCTGGGATGGAGTCTACTAGCTGGTTGTGTGACAGGTCCCTGAGGCGGCATGGGTGGGAGCGCAGTGGAAGGACGTGTGACACAGGGTGACAGACATGCTGCTCCTGCCCATGGTTCCTCATTCAAGAATGATATTCCATTCATGCTCTATCATGCATCCCATTAAGCATGCCATGAGGTCTGAACACGAAGCACGCGAGCGAAGTGCATCTGCTGTTGAAGTAGCAACTGAGAAGGAACGCAAAGCGATTGCGAGATTGAGAGGCGACTGCAGAGATGCATGGTCTGATGGTAGTGCGGTGGTGCAGAGTCCGCCGTAGCTTACAGTTTTTCTAGCTTCTTAAGTTCGCTGATGCTTCTCGGGATGGTGCCGTCAAGAGAGTTGTATTGCAAAAGGCTGTGAAACAGAACGAGCACGGGCAAATGGCATGAATCATGGCGGCACGGCACCTGCCAGCAGCAGCAGCGGCGGCAGCAGGAGCGGCAGCGGCAGCGGCAGCAGAAAGGCGCCGTGACCCAGGCGTAGCGGTAGACCCATGATATCCAAACAATTGCAAGCAGCAGCAGGAGAAAGGGGCGGTTTTTGTGGCAGAAAGGGATGACAGCAGCGCACTGAGAAGCAAGCCAACGAGGCACTTACAGCAGTTGAAGGTCCCTGAGTTGCTGAAGGTTGTCTGGGATAGATGCAAGGCTGTTGCTACTCAGGTTCATTGGTTTTGAGAATTCTCAAGGTATGATGGTTTTTGAGAATTCCCAAAAACCTTCGCACCGGCATTGGAAGAGAGGCTGAACAGGGTGGGTTGAGGGTGCTGCTGGGACCGAGCAAGTTACCGATGAGACGGTCAACAGTCGCAGAGCAGTAGCACACAAGGCCACGAGCTTCGTGGCCCCAGCCATGGCCATTCCAGATTGCCGTTGCTGTAGGTGCATGTCAGATGTTCAATTTTAGGTTAAGATGCATGCTACTGCTGTGAATGGCAACCCGACACCCCTCTTCCCCGAACACCTGCACTTTCAGTTGTGCGACCACTGACGCTAAGGAGATGGACTTACCCATCGTATGGGCCTGCCCAGTTCCTTGCCCTTAACCTCCCACCCTCCACTCCACCTCATGATTCCCGCAATACCTACCAAGTGTAACCTACCCCACCATTTATTCACCGCATGAAATCGTTCGAAGACGGTGAAGAGGGGAGGGGTGAGCTTCTATCAAGCCAACCACAGTGCAAGTGGGAAAGCACAGCAACAGCTGCACGTGGCAGTGCACGAAAGCTGTGTTCCTCACAGGTACGAGAGGCTGGTGGCATTAGCAATCTCTGGTGGGATGGGTTCTTCGAGCTTGTTGTTGGAGAGGTCCCTGCGGCAGCATGGGGGGAGAGCAGTGGAGGGGAGGACGTTAGGTGGGTGATACCGGAAGACACACACAATGTCTCACATGGATCTGATGATGGTTCTTCTGACGATGGCTCTTCAAGGTTGAAAGAGGGCAGGGAGGATTGGGGCACTGGAAGGAAGTTATGCATGAGAGAGGCATGCATGATGTGGCCGTACAGGTTCTCGAGCTTAACGAGTTGGCTCATGGTAGGTGGAATGCTCCCAATCAGAAGGTTGGAGCTCATGTTCCTGCGATGGCAGCACCACGAGAAGGAAGGGAGGAGTGGGATCAGAGCGGCAGGCCACAGAGTAAGCCACCCCTGTTGGTAAGAGGAATGGTCCGACCATTGCATAGGAAGGTATGGTTCGGGAGGCATGATACTACCATGCATGGAGTAGCCTAGTAGTCAAAAGGGTGCCGGCCCAGAAAACTAGTTATTTGGGCGTCCAAGTCCCAGTCGTCATGCCTTCCTTATTATTGAATGATGACCTCACGTACGTAAGAGAACAGCCAACCAAGAGCGTACAGCAAGAGCTCGAATATAGTTACAGGGCTCTAACCCAGTTACCCTGTTGGATGCTCGTGGTCTCGTAATGGAACATAGCTACCTCAACTTGCAAAGCTGCTTGTGGCTTAATTGCATAAAAAGCATGAGAGGCACGCATGAGAAGCAGGCATGGGAGGCATCAAAGGGAGAGGCATGCATGAGCAGTCAAGTAACCATACAAATGCGTGAGGCGGACGAGCTGGCCTATGCTGGACGGGATGCTCCCATCTATCTTGTTTGAGCTCAAGTTCCTGCCACGCCAAGCAACCAGCATCACGCGATGAGGGAATGGGGGACCACATGCACAGAACCCTAAACAGTGTTGCACTGCAAGAGTACGGTGCTCCTCATAGGCGCAAGAGGCTAGTGGGAAGGCCAATCACTGGTGGGATGAATCCTGAGAGCTGGTTGTTGAAGAGGTCCCTGAGGCAGCATTAAGGAGAGAGCAGTGGAGGGGAGGATGTGAGGTGGGTGACACAGAGGGACAGACAGACACAATGTCTTATGGCTCTATTGATGGTTCTGACGATGGTTCTTCAAGGCTGAAATAGGGCAGGGAGGATTGCGGCGCTGGAAGAAACGAAGTTATGCATGAGAAAGGCATGCATGATGTGGCCATACAAATCCTCAAGCTTAACGAGTTGGCTCATGTTAGATGGAATGTTCCCAGTCAAGAGGTTGGAGCTCAAGTTCCTGCGATGGCAGCACCATGAGAAGTAAGGAGTTTAGTGAGCACACGGCCACAGAGTGGGAAAGCCAAGCCTGTCAGTAAGTGGAATGGTGTGATCAAACGATAGGAAGGACATAGCTTGGAGGCATGATAATACCAAACAGGGATTAGCTTAGTAAAAAGGAGTCCGCCTGAAAAACTAGTGATTTGGGGTCCGAATCCCAGCTGTCCTGCTTTCCTTTCTATTGAATGATAACTTAACGTGCATAAGAGAACAGCCAGCAATAGCATACAGCAACAGCTTAACATAGTTACAGGGCTCTAACCCAGTTACCCTGTTGGATGCCTGTGCCCTTGTAACATATCTACCTCAATCTTCAAAGCTGCGTGTGCACCACTTAATTGCTTAGATGCATGCTGCTGCTGTGAATGGTGACCTGACTGACTGACATCCCCCTTCCCGAACACCTGCGCTTTCAGTCGTGACACCATTGATGCTAATGAGATGGCCCTAACCCATCGTATCCACCTGCCCCTAACCCCCCAGCCCCCTACTCATGATTTCCGCAATACCTAACCCGTGTTAACCTTTTACTCAATGCAAGAATCGTTCGAAAATGGTGAAGTGGGGAGGGGCGAGTTTCTATTAAGCAATCCACAGTGGAAGTGGGAAGGCAGAGCAGAAGCTACACGTGGCAGTGCAAGAAAGATGTGTTCCTCACAGGCGCGAGAGGCTGGTGGCATTGGCAATCTCTGGTGGGATGGATCCTGAGAGCTGGTTGTTGGAGAGGTCACTGAGGCAGCATGGGGGGGTGAGCAGTGGAATGGAGGACGTGAGGTGGGTGATACTGAGTGACAGACACAACTTCAAAGTTGAAAGAGGGCAGGGAGGACTGGGGCACTGGAACGAAGTTATGCATGAGAGAGGCATGCATGATGTGGCCGTACAAGGCCTTGAGCTGAACGAGTTGGTTCATCGTAGACGGAATGCTCCCAAGGAAAGCCACGCTTGTTGGTAAGTGGAATGGTCCGATCATACCATAGGAAGGACATGGTTCGGACGCATGATATTACCACATGATGACCTTACCAAAGTTTGAGGGCTCTAGCACAGTTACCCTGTTGGATGCTTATGGTGTTGTAACATTTCAAAGACAATTTCCTAAGCTGCTTGTGCCTTATTTGCATAAGAAGCCTGAGGGGCATGTAAGAGACGCAGGCATGATAGGCATCAATGAACGGCATGTATGAGCAGTCAAGCAGCCATACATCTGCGTGAGGTTGACTAGTTGGCCCATGCTGGACGGGATCTCCCCAACTATCTGGTTCGACCTCAAGTTCCTGCCATGCAACCAGCACAACAACGAGGGGATGGGGGGGGCACAAGCACAGGTCACAGAATGAAGTTTCGCATTACACAGGAACGGCAGACGCTGGCGATTTGTGACCTCATGATGTGCAGCAGAGAAGTGGGTGGGATGGGATGCGATATGGAGCAGGAGATTAAGTCAAATGAAAGAGCGCTTCAGACTGAAGGGAAAAGAGAGGGGGGAAGGGGGTGATGATGGTGGGGCGGGTGGGGGAGGGAGGAGAGGGGACTGAGGAGAGTGAAAAGACAAGCACAGGGTGTGGTGTGGGTCGGCCCACGAAGGCTGGTGGTCTCACAGGAAGGTGAGGCTCGTCAACCGCCCTATTCCTGTTGGAATGGGCTGATCGAAGCTGTTGTTACCTAAGCCCCTGCCACGCATTCACAACCAGATAGCCCCCGTCTCCCAACCCCCACCCTCTCAACCAGCCCCGTCCAATTTCAACCCAGCACATAGAACAAGAGAAGTGTTAGCCATGCGGTTGCACAGGCACAGAGGGCTGGCCATGTGCGAAGGGAAGGTTTTGCAAAGACATTTCCTGACCTGACCTGAGGCATGTCATGCTGTGGAATGCAACAATGGAACAATGGAAAAGCATGCATCGAACGGCATCACAGACGTCTACAAAACAGCCTTCCACCACAGTTGCCGCTTGCAATACAAGAGAGGGGCATTCCATCTCATCCCATGCTACATCCGGCACCACCAGCAGCCAGGTATGGAATCTCACAACAGCTCGAGCTTCAGGGAGAGGTTGACTGGTATGGGCCCTGAGAGATTATTGAATGCCAATGCCCTGGAACGTGCGGCAAGGAGGGAAGGTCGCCGGGGGTGGGGAGCAAGGGAGAAAGCTAAGTTGGAAAAAACGCTCACTTTTTATTGCGTATTGCGGTTAAATGCATAGAAAATACGTACGCTGCGTTTTTGGTCTAGATACGCCGAAATACGCATGGGCTGACCGGAAAAAAAAACCCAATAATTTGCAACAGTTTGCGACTTGGCGAAAAAAGTTCTCGTTGTCACACATCGCATGGACTCAACTTCGAGTTCAAATTTCGAACCCTAGCCCCGCCAATCCCCCCTTCGAACCTCTGTCAACCCCTCTCCACCTCGTCACTTCCCAATCCCTCCCAACTCCTCCATGAGACGAGTTGGCCTCAAACAGAGTCAGCTCTCCTAGCATAAATTACTGCAATTTCAACATTCGATACTCATTCTCGCAGTTCCCTTTCTACCGTAGCTTACGCGCCACCATGAATTCCAGCCCTACAGCATCACCCTCTCCCCCATCTGCTGAGGCAACCCGTACTTCCACCTGCCCGGAAAAAAAAATCCCCTGCCCGGGCCACCGTATTCTGTGCGTACCCGAACCCCTCGTCCTAAGCGTATTGCGTTTATACGCTCTCGTATAAATGCTTACGTATAGAACGCGATATGCGTATATTCCAACTTAGGGAGGAAGCAGGAGGAGCGCCATGTTGCAGCATGTGAGAAAAGAAGGGAGAGAGTGTGCAACTGCAAAAGCAAGCACAGGAAACGAAAGTCTGGAATAGGAGGACCAAAAAATTCGCTCACAGGCGCATAAGATCTGTCAGGCCTTCCAGAGACGGGACAGTTGAGTTGAAGTTGTTGTTGCGGAGGTCCCTGAAAGGATCGCAGGCATCAAGGAGGCACTGTCAGGCACTGTCAGGCACTGTCAGGCACTTGCTGTCCGTTGCAGCAACGCACACTCTCCTTCGAATTTGCCAGAGCTGCTGGCTGGCGGGGGTAGCGCACGAGAGGAGCTATGAATGCTGCTGGCAGGGGGGGTTGACTGGAGATGCTTTCAGAGCGTTTGGTCCTCAGAAGTGTGTCGAGGATCAACACATGGAAGAGACTTCCCTAGGACGACATACAAGTGGCAATGTTGGGAGCAGGGGCGGGGGTCTCTCCAGGTGTTTGTAATGTAGGCAGGGCAGAGCAGGTAATGCTAGAGAGAGATGAAAATGAGGTGCTAACATGTGCTAAGCTAAGGTGACAAGAGCATGTGTTAAAGGAGGGGCCACATCTCACAGGATCTTGAGGGCGGTGAGATTGCTGAAGAAGGAAGGGATGCTACCACTGAAACTGTTGTTATGGAGGTCGCTGGATGGTAATAAGGGGGGGCAGGAAGGCGGCGAAGAAACTGGGGTGGAATAGCCAATGATTGCAGTGAGCACGGCCAGAAGCACATGCTTGCACACGCCCCTGCAGGCCCCCGTGCTGCAATTTAACGGAAGGACGTGAGAAAGTGAAATTTAAAGTGAAGCTCCGGGTTAGAAGAAGAGTATGCACCAACCTTGGGGGAGGAGAGAAGCATGCAAGGAAAGACAGAGAAGAGGACGGACGGAGTGAAAGGCACTCACAGACTCGTGAGGGTGGTTATCAAACTCAGATTTTCCGGGATGCTTCCGCTCAGCCTTTGACTGCTCAGGTTTCTGCTCGAGGATGGCACAGACAGAAAGTAGTGCAGAGGAGAATGACGGAACGAGATGGGGGGTTGTAAGAACGAGCATGGGATGCACGGCGTGCGCGCCGGGAGAGGACAGAGATGGGCTGCTGGGACAGGAGCCGGGCCATGAAGGGGATTCAGAAATCTCAGATGCAAATCAGAACGGAGTCAGACGGAACGAGATGGGGGGTCGTGAGAATGTTTAAGCGATTTTGCGCGCGTGCGCGGGGAGAGGACAGGAATGGGCTGCTGGGACAGGAGGCGGGCTTGTGAAGGCTATTGCAATGGGCGACCATGGCAGACAGACAGGGGAATGCAATGCATGCAGACGGCACGCAGGGAGAGCTGATGGGTGCAACACGCACATGCTGTCGACGACGCCCGTTGGGTCGCAATGGTACCCGCTACTCCAGTTCATCTGTTGAAGCACGGACGCTGCGACGCCATCACGAGGAAAAACACGGGAGGCGAATGGGTGTTCGGTGGTGAGAAATCGGGAGGGTCAACAGCGGAAAGACAGGCGCCAGAAACGCGATGGAGGGTGTTTGCCATAAGTGAAGAATGGGCGGATAGGGCTCCACGGAAACCCTACGGCAAAAACAGCCCAGGAGACTGGAATCAACGGAAACTAGAGGAAGGCAGAAATGGGGATATCCCTGCCGGCGGGAGTCGTTAGGATATTCAATCGGCCCAATCCAGGGTCAAGCCAAACAAGGATATCGAAACGCCTCTACAGTGTCCTAACGAGAAAAGTAATACATGCAGACAGTGGCTGTTTTTGCCACCCCGCAAAAGCCGCAACGAGTTAAAGTACTACAAAGCTGAACGCATACTGAGAAATTGACGTTGGGAGAGAAAGGGAACAGCATGTAAGCAGGCTGTTGCGAAATGGTAACGGACTTTGATTAGTATCCTTGCAATTGGGTCCGGTGGCTGAGGTGTCTGGAACTGGGGAGTCTAACGCAACCGCGTGGAGGAGCAAGATGCCTGAAACTGCAAGCCATAGAACCAGCGATGTACTTCGCCGGTCCATGGATTCTTGGGTAGTAGCAAGCACTGAGGACTTGAATCTCGTCATAGTAGCAGCTCGCAAGTCTATCAAGAATCAGCCTCGCGATAGGTGGTAGCCTAGCTTTCTGTTCTGGAAAACTGGCATTTGGATCAATGGAATAGGTATATGGGGGTGGGGATGAAGAGCTTGGCCTGGGAGCAAGAAGAACAGCTAGGGCCGTGCTTGACAGGAATGCAATGAGGTGAGGTGGCGTTGCCTGACTGACTGAGTGGTTTGACTGCTTTGTCTGATTTGACTGCCTTCCCCCCTGGCTGTCATGTCAAGCTGGGAAGGGGAGGGAAGGGCATGGAGAGGACGGGAAGGAAAGGGAAGGGAAGGCGAGGGAGAATGCCTGGCTGTACTGCTGCGATCCCATTGGCCAAGTCGCAGAAAGTCCATGCTGTGCACGGGGAACTCGGACGACATTTTGTGTAAGGATTTCACGAATCCTTACTGGGTTTAGCCACAGCGAGTACCGCGAACAGTGCGCGCCCGCAGCCTCGGCCCTCAAATCTCGCCTCGACCTAATCGGCCCCGAACGTGTTACCGAGGCGCCCCAAACCCAAGTTGACCCCGTCACCCTCGGGACTACCGAGCCCTTGACTGGTCCAAACCTCGAGGTTCAACCTGGTCAACTAACACTGTATAAGCCCTAGGCCTTTCATTGTTAGAAACATTATGTAGTCACACTCCCCTATAGTATTCTGCGCTATACTCTGAGTTATATTTCATAACAGCTGGTATCAGACCCAAGATTCTGGCCATCTAGGTTCCGATAGGGGAGCAGTCCCTATCGGCGAAGGGGGTGGGAGGATGCTGGTGGCGTAGCGCTTCCGATGCAGCCGGATCCTGTCCGATGGACGGTTGGGATTAGCCGGTCCTCCCCTTCCCCAAGCGTAGACAGAATCATTTTCGTCGAGAGAGTGGCAACGTTTTCGTTGAGTTCTCCGGGTATGTTTTGTTGAAGTACACTCGGCAGAGTTTACTTATGCATTCCTGATATAACACTTAGACTGTACTAGTAGCTTCATACCTCATATGGAAGGACGCAAGTGATGGAGTCTGCAGTAGCGAGTCAACGTGTGAACAGTAGGTTCGCACGTATAGTCACCCGAAGGGTCACGCCACTCTCAGTCACACGAACAGTCACAAGTCATGCCACGCGAATAGTCGCGATACACTACGAACTGTCAGAAACCCAGTCACTAACCACTGGGTTAAAAGGGCTTGTTGAATAGCGGGTAAGTGCGCCCATAGCCCCCCAGGCTCTGCACCTGTGGCCCTTCTCCGAGGATCTCAAGGGCAACCCCAGCGGGTCACTCAACACCCCCCCCCCCCCCCCCCCCGCTTGGATAGGTGGAAGACACGAGCGCCTCTGCAGCGCTGGCATTGGGAGTTGAACCCAAGACCTTTGGCTCTGATACCATGTCAGAAACCCAGTCACTAACCACTGGGTTGAAAGGGCTTGTTGAATAGCGGGTAAGTGCGCCCATAGCCCCCCAGGCTCTGCACCTGTAGCCCTTAGTCCGAGGATCTCAAGGGCAACCCCAGCGGGTCACTCAACACAAACATGTACATCCGAATAGGTACTTCCTAGCCTATAAATATGTATGTATTATCCATCATTATTATCCTTGTCATTTCTGACATTTCCAATACGATGCGTTAAGTCTGTCGCTGAATTTTAACTCGTGGTTCCACCAACTCTAGATCTGGCCACCCTAAATACGTAGTTCACTTCTACATGTTTGCTAGTGTTTCTTAATTTTCTGAGGTTCTAATAAAGTTTTACGATTGGCTTCATAAAATTGCGATGAGTCCTCAGGAGAGAACAAGTGCACCGGAATCCTTGGGTGGTCGGGTGTTGGTCGTCAAGAGCGTGAGAATGGGCGAAAATGGCGGGGCGTACGAAGATGTATGTCTGTCATGCCATGCAACTACATCGTGAAGTGTAGTTGCGTCGCTGGCGTCAGCGTTTTCGGCAGGCTAGTTGCAGGCGATGGACGGGACTTCCAAGAATATTTCGGCAAAGGGCGGCTGCGATTAATTCAGACTGCCACTATCGCACAGTTACAAGAGTGGGTGAGCCAGACAGCAGCAGCACGAGGCCAACTACCTCTGCGCTGTTCTGCATGGGCTGTCTCATTTGGAGGACAAAGTTGTTCTTGAAGATTTTCAACGAGGGCGACTTCATAAGTTGCGGAGGCGTTTTCGTGGAGCACCGTTCATACCCCGACGATAAATGGAAACGGAAGCCACCACCTAAGAGTGTGTATTAAGTGTTTTCCATCGAGGCACCACCGCATGCGTCAACCCGTCAAGAGCTGAAACAGTTGAAGAAGAATGACTGGGAGAAGCTGGTTGTTAGTTAAACGTCAGGCAACAACGGATCCCCTACTGACAGAGCTTCGTCATCCGAATATCACCATTCCCACCACATCATAGTGTCGACTATGGGTCGACCACATATGGTTAAGGGGGAGTGAAGCTGCAATCTACACTGTACTATGGGGTGTCTCCGAAATTTGAGGAGTTACTGTTGTAGTGGAGCTAAGAGTTTCACCTGGTGCAGTAGAGGAGTTAAGGACTTTTGGGGGTGTAAGTTTTCGAGTGGCTCACCCTGGCACGTCGGGAGGCAGCAGGTGTCCAGCGGTCGTGCGAGGACTTCTTTAGTCCAGCCGACTTTGTCATGTGCCCTCCACACCTCGGACTGTGCAGGTTTTGGAGGAGTTCGTTAAGCAGCAGCGAAGCGGTTTTTGGGTAACCTGCAGTAGCCGAGAGATGGGTGAACGTCTCCACGGTCAGGTGTACCAGAGTATTTTAAGAGTTAGGTTACAGTTGGAGGAGTTTGAAACTGTTTTCGAAGTTTTCAGAGTGCGGCTAAGCGGAAAGGAGTTGACCCTGATTGCGCGGGCTACTTCGACGCGCGATAATGCTAGGACCTGTTTTGGTGTCATGGTGGGCACAATGATGGGTGAACGCCTGCTCGCCAGCCATGATCGACAGCTGAAGACCCATGCACGGGTGGTGAACGACAATACCCTAGATTAAAGGGTTCAGTTCATGCGTACAGCGGGTAACGGACCGATGGGGGTGCAGCTAAAGGACGACGCGTCAATGGTTTACGGGTAGCTGTGAAGCACGCGCAGCTGTGAAGCAGGGTTGCGCTATTTGCTAAGTCATGGGTGAAGTTCCGACATATTCGTTGAAGAAGGAGCCGGATTTTACTACTGGAGAGGTGCCTGGTATCTTCAGGGGTACGAGCAACATCGACCGAGATTTTCAAAATGTTTGGTTGCATCAGGGGGTACAAGAGCAGCAGCTGTTTTCGGCTCTTCCCCAATATTTTGGCGTGTACGGACAAAGTAGCTCATGCAGCTGGCGGCATTTGACCCTAGGTTATGTTTGAGGTTTTTCACAGGACTGGTTTGGTATAGGTTACTTTCCATCGCCATCGTCGACATCCTCTCGCCACCACCCGCTACCATCTCCATCCTCATTTTGTCCGACTTCGCCTGACAGTGTGAACGCGACCCCGCCTCACCTTCGGAATCGACAGCAGTAGTACCGAAACGGGAAGATTTGCAGCTGTACTGTTGGAGCTGTGTTGGGGCCGGCTCGCAAGCAGTGTTTTACTTGTGAAGTTTTTTTGAGTTCATGTGGGAGTGTTTCGGAGCAGTTACTTCTGAGTTTCAAGACCCTTGGAGCGGTTTACCCTGCCGAGGGATTTCAACTCTGGAGAAAAATTGGGAGTTCAAGCGGTTGGAGTTATGCAGCAACATCTTCGAAGCAAAGTTTCAAAAAATTTACGAAGCCTTGGGGGATATCTCGACAACCCTGGAGCGTTGGGTTTCTTGGAGTCTTACCCTCGCTATTAGGAGGTGTTTCTTCTTGGAGAGGGGAAAAGGGCAGCTGCACTACAAATATTTGAAGACCCTACTAGCATGTTCCGTTACCCTTCGAGCAACATTTGTCACCATTAATCATCCGCACATCTGTTCATCTGTTCGTTGACGGAGATCGCTGACTTTTCATGGGACACGGACGTGTGCCCTCGCATGTGTCACGAACGACCTTGCGTTTGGTGAATGGGTTCTTCATTTCATCGGCCACGTCATTCGGAAGTCATCATTTCAAGATATTCAGCTGCCACGCGCCATCACCAATCGACCTCTCAACAAATTTCACTACTCACAGGCTTCCGCTAGAGTATTCATCTTTGCCGGATCGGTCAGCTGGAGAATTCGACCGCCTTCGACGGCTGAGATTAAAATTGATCGTTTCGACCGCATTCTGACCGTTGATCGCAGTTCGACTTGAAGACCTCGAAAGGACGGCATAGCCATTACGCTCGTCACTGTATTGAAGACCTACCGTCACATCGGGGATAACTATTCATGACAGTTCGGCCTTTGATATACGGAGGGCACTCTTTAGAAGGTGGGAGGATGTAAGGATTTCACGAATACTTACTAGGTTTCGCCACTGCAAGTACCGCAATCAATGCGCGTCCGCAGCCTCGGCCCTTAAACCTCACGTCAAACCATCCCCGCCGACCTAATCGGCCCCGAACGTGTCACCGAGGCGCCCCGGACTCAAGTTGACCCCGTCACCCTCAAGGCTATCGAGCCCTTAACTGGTCCAACCCTCGAGGTTCAACCTGGTCAACTAGCACTATACAAGCCCTACGCTTTTCATTGTTAGAAACGTTATGTAGTCATGCTCCCCTATAGTATTCTGCGCTATATGCTGAGTTATATTTAATTACATTTTGCCCCGGTCTATACTGGGGATAGACAATGAATATGAATGCGGAGAATTGGTTTCTCTCACACGCCCGCACTTACAGTATGTGAAAATAGCACGTCAGGAAGAAATATGGGAAACCAGGGAGTCTGTGTCAAACATATATGTATACAGTATGTTATTATATGCTAGATAGGTGCATGCTCTTAGAAGGTACAATACACAAGTACCAGCTCACCCTGTACCTTCTATTCTAGTCGATTCGTTACTCTGAGATGGTATCACGCTAGGTTAGGTCCTCCCCGCCCACCCGCGCTTCTGCCCTAGTCCTAGTCCTCGCCCTAGCCACCCGTTGCTACATGCCCGTCGCTAGCCGCCCGTCGCCTCGTACCGCCCGTATCCGCCAGCTGCCTATAGCTGCTGGCCGCCCGGAGCTGCCAGCCGCCCATCGCCGCCAGCCGCCCTTAGCCACGCGCC